CTCCTGGCCCAGTGGGAGCAAAGACAGCCCCTCCCCCGCCGCGGGCCTGAGGACCAGGCCCGGGCAGGCAGTGCCCGCAGGCTCGCACTCGCAGCCCACGCCTCCCTGGTCTGGGGACAGTCAGGGAAGTAAACAGGGAGCAGCCCTGCCCTGGGGAGGGGCACAGGCGGGGGCGGCAGAGGGTAAACCGAGGCACGGGAAGGGGCCACAGTGACTGGAGCGGGCCAGTGTCTGCCCCGTTTCGCCTTCATCATCTGGTTTGGTCCAAACGAAGTTGTTTTTGTTTTTTGTTTGTTTTGCTTTTTAAACTGGAAGATTTACCCACGGCTCTGAAGTCCTGGCTGCTCTTAAGGGACCAAACTGAGGCAGAGAACACACTTCTTGGGAAGCCGGGAGGGGTGGGGTGGGGGTACCTCGGCCACAGAGGCCTGCCAGGTGTTCCGGAAGCTCCTGGGCGATGCGGGCGAGGGAGCCTGGCTCCCGCCCACAGGACGCTGACCATCCAAGCAGCCACGTGCGGACGGAGAGCGGGAGGGCTGGGGTCCCTACACCGCCTGGCACCCCGTGTCTGCCCACGTGGCCGGGCCCCGGGTGAGTAGCACTGACATGGGGAGCAGAGCCGTGAGTAAAGGCGAGGGTGTGGGGGTGGCAGAGGGTGGCCACTCGGGACAGGGGTCAGGGAGGGCCCCAGATAAGCGGCGTCTGAGGGAGAGGGAGGAGCTGAGCGAGTGAGCCCTGGGGGAGTGTAGAGGGAGAGCATCCAGGCGAGGGCTCTGCGTGTGAGCTGAGGGAGAGCGTGCTGGGGCGCAGAGAGGGAGCCCCGGTGGGCCGGGGGCAGGGAGCGAGGAGGCCAGAGGAGGGGAGGGGATGGCTGAGGCCCTTAAAGGCCACTGTGAGGACCGTGCCTTTGTCTTAAAACGAGGCAGGGGGGTGAGGCGAAGAGTGAGGGGGGAAGGGGTGCGTCAGGAAGCCCGGCCCCGTGACAGCACGGAGAACAAGTAGAGGGATGAGCGGGGCCGAGGGCGCCCCCGGAGAAGGCCCTGGCAGCCCGCTCCGCCCGAGGCTGCCGCCTGGGTAACCAGGAGACCCGTGTGCGTCAGCACCGCCACCAGGGACGAGCTAATTGCCTGCCACCCACTAATGGCCTGTTTGCCTCGCACACGCACGCAGGAGCCTGCGGAGGAAGGAGGCCAAGCCCGCTGCTGCGCGCAGCGCCGCGTCCCTACCCCACACGCCC